AAGAGATTGACTGTTTGAAGAGCATTTTGACTTGAATAGAGTTGTTTACTCTTGCTTGCTTGATGTTTTAGCACTAATGAGAGTTAATTCTTGTTAAAATGTTTAGCAAAGGGTTATTTGCCAAGAGATTGGATCTAACTAGCTTAATCGTGAACTCTATGTCTAGGAATCACCATTGCTTGCTTACTTGTTTGATCAATGTAGTTTGAAACAGTCTTAGTTAATGTCTGAAATTTCCCAAAGTCAATAACCACATCTAGGAACTTGCCTTTCTCTTATTTGAATCTCGGATTTGCTCTGTTGTGCTCTGTTTTACTTTGTTTTTCTTGCTTAGAACTGCCTAGTTTGCTTTTGTTTTCACTTTCTTTGCTGCTTGTTTCACTTAGGTTGCTAGAACTGTTGCTTAGGCAACAAAACCAATTCTCTGCTTGCTTGACTTAGAGATTTTACTCTCAACTCTTCTGTTTTCAACTCTTCCCAATTGGATTGACATAAAACCCATACTGCAACTGACTAGTACAAGGGTGATTGAGACAAGGACTCACAAAACCATGTACCACCTAACAATGTCAAACCTCATTCTCTAATGATATTATTATTTCACCAATCTTTTAATACAAAATATTATATACTACAATAATGTTTCCTTTTTAAAAGAAGCTCTGATATGTTGTATCACCATATAATTGACATGTGTCACTTTTTCTTTTTTTTGTTTCTTTCTTATTTCTATTATATTCTTTTTCATCAAACTAACATAAAAACAAAAGATTCAGATTTATTTTCCTTCTCGAAACAACCCAAAGAAGTACAAATCCTATATAATATAGTAATGTTAATTGTCACCTTTTTCTATCTTTTTTATATTCTCTTTCATCAAACAAATACAAAAACAATGTTTCGGTTTTTTTTCTTTCTCCACTAGATTATATTTCATTATATCTCCTATTTCATATTATTTTAGAAGATTTGATAACTTTTAGTAGATGACTGTGTTATTGTTTATGCGCAAAATTTAGATTCATTTCTTCATGTTTTCTTTGTGGCCAATCAAACAGAAAATCATGCACTATTTTCTTTAATAAAATATGTTTACATTAATGGCTTACTACTTTCTTCCATAATGCATCGAACCTCGAACATTAATCACTACCATAATATATATATTCTACTATTGGGCACCTTCTTTTCGGTTATCATTGGTGGCAGCTTCTCTTCCCTGATATGGTCAAACCTATTATTATTATTTCACCAAATTAGAAACTAGTGTTTAAAACCTTTACTAACAAATACAATAAAATATATTGTAAAATTTAAATAGTCAAAATCTCACAAATCCATACAACGCGTGAACCTTTTCCTAGTAATAGATATGAGTGAAACAAAACAAAAAGTTCAAAAATAGAATCCAAATCATAGGAAATAAATCTAAATCATCAATAAAATCTAATTTACAAAAGGAAAAAGGTAAAAAGAAAAACAGATAATTATCATCTCTTCACTCTTCAGCCACTATTGTTTCTCTCTTCAAATTGTTTATAAATCTCTGATATAAAAAAATTTAATATATAATTATAAACTTATAATATATTTGGATACCGCAAAAGAATAATGAATATGTACCTTATTGTAAAGATTCTAAATTTTCAATTATTTTTACCATTTTCAAAAAATTAGGGTTTACAACTTTTTATTATTTATATGTAGATGTTTCTTGTAAATATTATATTTTGGATTAAAATTTAATAACTATAAAGATAATTAGGCCCGATAATAAAATAATAAAAAAATAAAAATTATTTACAATTTAATTCTGAAACTAAAAAAGCATTCGGTTTGATGGTTTTTAACTAGTCCAAACCAAACCAAAACTTAAAAAAAAAAAAAATAATCAAATAGATTAGTTTAATCATAACCAAATTATATCACTTTTTTGGTTTGGTATAGTATAATTTTTGTCCACTTTTAACTAGCTTCTTATTAGCTCTGCATACTCTGCCGAGTAGATCTGCATCCTAGGAATTAGATCACATGTCCTAGCGCCGAACTCATGCAGTCATTTGGAGGATCTATAATGTCTGGTCTGCTACCTACAGGGGCGACTTAGTGAGGAGGAAAAAAGGGCGATCCCCCTTGGATCCAACTTGGAAACTACTAATATTAAAGGTCCAATTTGTTTATCCATATATATATTATTAGATATAGATTAAGATAGTAATTAAACAATATTATATTATAATTAATTAAATTTATATATTTTTAATTAAAATATTAGATAATAATTATTTTTAAAAACAGATTTTTCAATATACTTTATTTTCAAAATAATTATAGAAACTTTTTTTCTTTCTCAAACGCTCTAATTTTATTAAGCCGGCGCTGACCACTTATTAGGGCACGTTCGATGGGGTCACAGGAATTTATGAAAGGAGAACAATATAACAAAGTCGTGCCCATCTTCAAAAACTCAGACACTCCACCCGTCCACCCAGGATCGTGCCTATGTAGAGAAAAAAGAAACCTTCGCCTACGTCTATTAATTTTACACAGATTTTAGTGAACAGTATTTATAGTTATGTTTATGTAGTATTTCTTTTATTTGTTAATATTTTTTTCATAAAATTAAAACCATTCTATCAATATAATGTCTAAGGTAGTTATGTAAATATATACCCTAGTTTGGGCTAAAGTCCGAAGCCCGAAGTCCGGCCTGGCCCGGTCTTGAAAAATACCGGGTTTGGACTTAAGCGCGATCGGTCTCGGGCTTACCCGAAAAGTCATGTACTTTATATTATAATTTTAGTTAGAAATTTTTATTAATAAATTATCTTCACAATTTTTAAAAATTAGAATTATTAATTTTAAAAAACTAGAGTTATTAATTTTTTATAATACTCTTTATTAATGTAAAACCTTAATTTTTAGTTGTGTGTCTTCATATAACATCAATGCTCAAACTAAACTAGTTTCAAGTAGCACTGCTACCTTCATCCTGAAGATTCTTATCTCGATTCTACTGTTTCCACTATTTATATTACTTATTTATTTAATTATATTTGATGCTAGAATTTATATGAATTTATAAGTTAAAGTTTTGCTTTCAGATTTGATAAAAATATATTTATGATTATTTTTAAAATTTATTTTATTTAAAAAGTCCGAAAAAACTCGATAACCCTGTTAGGACCGGGCCGGACCATGCTTAAATATGTGCAGAGCTTTATGGGTTTCGGACCGGGCCGGACCGGGCCGGGCCGGGCCAGCCTGTTTGACATGCCTATTTTTAGCTAATAATTGAAGATTTTAATGAAATCTTTTTCAATAAGGAAAAACAAGGAGATCATATTCGTGAGGAGTGAACTTCTAAAAACTTCATAAATATATATCACTCCTGTGATTTTTCCAGATGTTCGACATAAAGGAAATCGACTTTGATGGATAGGACAAAGAACAAAAATACAAAGTAAAATGCCGTTCATATAAAGTTATAGTAAATTCAGAATGGTTAGCAAAATGTCATGAATCAGAGGCTGATTTCCGAGGCCTTTATGCATCAAATCACCTGCCAACAGTGACCTTTTTGAACTATTTTTTTACAAATTGAATAAAGTTTTCAATTATTAAAATTAATTAACTCTATATAAATGCAGCTTCCCCTAAACATTAGTCTTAAACAAAGAAAAATTTAAAACTTTTCGAACTTTGATCTAAAAGGAAGCAGGAGTGGAAAGTAAGAAGTTAACCTCACATTTAACATATACACAATTACAAAAGATTGTCGTCCATCATAAAACGGAGCGGGCCGGGCTTTTTTTACTCACACTTTAGACGTCTAACGTAAATCTGAAAGTATTTACGGGCTAAGGCCCATATTAAAAAAAAATCAAAACCCTAATCTCAGCGGATACACTATAAATTTCTTCTTGGTTCTCACTCCGCCTCACCACTTTGGAGCGACCCTCTCTCTTCCTCTCCTCTCTATTTTCAAGGTACACAAATTTTCTTTTGATTCTACTTTCTCATCTTCTGGAGAATCTTTGTTTAATATCTCAGCTCATCGATTTGTCAATACACTTTACTTTTATCCACTTCATATCTTCGTGTTAAAAATCGAATTTCGTATGATGAGATTCATATCATAAAATTCGTGTTCTTGTTTCTCTGATCGTACGGCTGCATATTTGTATTTTTCTGGTCTTGTGGTTGTTGACTTGAAGTGATAACCCTCGGAAACAACATAAAATCAAGGCTGGAATCTCTAAGCGGCTCTGTTGCTGGAAACCTTTTACTGGGTTTTCCGGTGAGAAACACTTTTATGAGCTTGAGATTTGGCACTGTAATGGTGCCATAGGCCTTTGATCGAGGGAACATTTCTTTTCATATATCACAATTCCTGAGAATATCTTATGTGTTAGTCTCTTAAGATTCTTAGTGCCTGTGCATGTTTCTGCCTCTTTCTGTTGATTACAAATCTGTGACTTAGTAATACTTGGCGTTGTCATTGTTTCACTGCAACTTCTATGCTTGTACATTGCTGATTTGATTGCTGTTAAGATTTTTTTGTCTAATGAATGATGCAAATCTGCAATTTGGTAATATTCAGAAGTATTAATTTACTTAAAACTGAAGATCTCGTATATTCTGAAGTATTAAACAACATTGCTTATTTGATTGCTGATAGGGATTTTTACAAATCTGCTATTTGGTAGTACTCTGATATCTCAACCTACATAATTTTAAGATCTTACATAGGGTTTGGCCTATTGGTACAAATAAATCTGCAATTTGGTAATACTTTTACTAACCTTGATTTTAATATCAACGGTTACGTTGCAGCCGATGTTTTGCTTGATTAATATAAAACCGTCTGATCGTTCTCACGTCATAACGAAATTTGTTATCACTTTTTTTTTTCTGGTGGCTCATAGATGATTTGTTATTGCGTAGTCTTCTTTGTATGAAGTCCATCTTATTTTGCAGGGTCCATTTTCTCAGTGAAAATGTCTCACAGAAAGTTTGAGCATCCAAGACATGGCTCATTGGGTTTCCTTCCAAGGAAAAGGGCTAACAGGCATCGTGGCAAAGGTAGTTTTCACTTTTGCGTGTAGTTAGATGAATCATTCTCAATTTTTGATGAAAAATGTTTATTTTCCGACCTTATGGCCTGTGTTGTCTGAACTGACTTGCCTAATTTGTGTTTCCAGTGAAGGCCTTCCCTAAGGATGATCCCGCTAAGCCTTGCAGATTCACCTCCTTCTTGGGATATAAAGCTGGCATGACTCACATTGTGAGAGAAGTTGAGAAACCTGGATCAAGTTTGTTCACGCTCTCTTCTCTTTATTGATTCCATTACATCCATTAATGACATTAATTGTTTTTGTGCTGATCTCTGTAAATTAAACTTTTAGAGCTCCACAAGAAGGAAACATGTGAAGGTGTGACTATGATTGAGACACCTCCGATGGTAGTGGTTGGTGTGGTTGGGTACGTGAAGACAGCACGTGGTCTGCGTACTCTAGGCACAGTGTGGGCTCAGCATTTAAGTGAAGAAGTAAGGAGGAGGTTCTACAAGAACTGGGCAAAGTCAAAGAAGAAGGCTTTCACCAAATACTCAAAGAAACATGAAACCGAAGAAGGTAAAACGGAAATTCAAAATCAACTGGAGAAGTTGAAGAAGTACTGCTCTGTCATCAGAGTTCTTGCTCACACTCAGGTACTACTTGTTTCCCTAAATTTATATAGAATAACCATTTTAAAAGTGTTTTCATTTGCTTAACGTTGACTTTTCCTTGTGCATTAGATAAGGAAAATGAAAGGGCTAAAGCAGAAGAAGGCTCATCTGGCTGAGATTCAGATTAACGGTGGTGATGTAGCCAAGAAGGTTGACTACGCTTACAGTTTCTTTGAGAAGCAAGTCCCTGTAGACGCTGTCTTCTCCAAAGACGAGATGATTGATATAATCGGTGTTACCAAAGGAAAAGGTTATGAAGGTGTGGTTACAAGATGGGGAGTGACCCGTCTCCCAAGAAAGACCCATCGTGGGCTCCGCAAGGTGGCTTGTATCGGAGCTTGGCATCCGGCTAGAGTCTCCTACACGGTGGCTAGAGCCGGTCAAAACGGATACCACCACCGTACTGAGATGAACAAGAAAGTTTACCGGGTTGGTAAAACCGGCCAAGAGACTCACTCAGCCATGACAGAGTTTGACAGGTAAAAACAAGAAGCTATGATCAAAATTTTGACTTGTTCAAAGCTCAGATCATGTTCATGTTTTGTTTGTTGTAGAACCGAGAAGGAGATCACTCCGATGGGAGGATTCCCACACTATGGTGTGGTGAAGGAAGATTATTTGATGATAAAGGGATGTTGCGTGGGGCCGAAGAAACGTGTGGTGACGTTGAGACAGTCGTTGGTGAAGCAGACGTCGAGAGTTGCTACGGAGGAGATCAAGCTTAAGTTCATTGACACTTCTAGCAAATTTTCACACGGTCAATTCCAGACTTCTCAGGAGAAGGCCAAGTACTATGGCAGAGTCACAAAAGCATAATTTTCTGATTTTTTGGTAATTCATATCATCTTTATATTATTTTCGGAGTTCCTTTTTTTGCTGACCATTTTGGTTTCGCTTCGCTGTGAACATTCTCATTCTGTTCAATGGATATTATTTCTGATTTTGTTTAGTTTTGTCTGTACGTGTTTTCGTTTATGTGTCAGTACGTGTTTTCGTTTTTGCCAATTGTGGTAAACAGCACTGACTGTTGACACCAAAAATATTAAGGCTATACATTTTAATATCTTTTATGACAAGTGAGTTATCATGTGATTTTAAAAATAAACAAATAAAAGTCGGAAACTAAATTGGAAATTGGCTGATATAGCCATATAAATATCTATAATTTGAAAAATAACCATAGTAACATAGGGGCTATTATATTCTTTATATATTCTATAATATATACCAAAAACCTCTTTTTTTAATAGATTACACTACCATATTCATACCAAAAATTATTAACGTCTACACTTATTTACAGCCTGTTGTAGGATTTTTCGCAAGCAGCTGTAGGTTATCGCAAGCAGCTCAGTATCATTTAATAGCTTTTTTCTACATTACAATGCAGTGATATTATTATTATGGTCTCAAATTGCTAATCATATATATTATGGGAGTTTGAATCAATAATGATGTGTAGTAATTTCGTTTTCTTTTCATTTCCCTATGGTATAGTGTGGTTGTTAGGCTCAGGATATTTATAATAATCTCAATATAGTCAGAATCATTTTTTTTTTATTTTTTATAATTCGTTTTTGTTTGTTTGTTTTTTTTTTATAATGTCAATGAAAAAGGCTTTCACCAAATACCCAAAGAAACATGAAACCGAAGAAGGCAAAAAAGAGATTCAAAATCAACTGGAGAAGTTAAAGATGGCCAAGTCCTATGGCAGAGTCAAAGCTTAGATTTTCCTTTTCTTTTTTTGGTAATTCAAATCATCTTTATATTATTTTCTGAGTTCCATTTTTTTGTTGGCCATTTTGGTTTCGCTGAGAACATCCTCCTTTCGTTCAATGGATATTATTGAACCTGATTTTGTTTGGTTTAATTTGTCACTACGGGTTCTCGTTTTTGCCAATTGTGGTAAACAAAATTGACGGTTGACACCAAAATAGTAAGCCTACACATTTTAATAACTTATATAACAAGTGAGTATATATATATCTTGTGACTAACAAGTGAGTATATAAATCAAAAATATATAACATTTTTTCTTAAAATAAATTTTAAATATTATAATTATAAAATATATAAATAAATTTGATACTTTTTGAAGTAGTATTAATTAAATATTTTTATGGTCTAAAATTGATATTTATTAATTATTAATCATAATTTTATATTTTTAATATTTTCCAACCAACAAAAATTTAAATAAATTTTATTTCTACCATTAATAATTATATATATCTAATAACTAAAATTATTTTAATATAATTTTAATATTCAAAAAATCATAATTTTCAACTAAACTTAAAAATTAAGAAATAAACATAAATATTATACATATAATATTTTTATAATTTTTATTATTAATTATATTGAATTTATAATTTTATATTTTCTCATAATAATTTATTTTTTGTTATTTTTTAATTATATAATATATTTATATTATTATTTTGTTGTATAATCGATTTTGCACCTGCTGACCAATCAATCAAAAATATTCCGCAGATATATTTGCATATCTGCTCTCAATCACTATACCAATCGTATGAACCGCTGATTAACAATATTCATTGCAACTATCCACTTCCACAAACTTCTGTCTCTGTAACCCCGCAATCTGCTTTTATACCATTTAAATTCTTATTTACAGTCTGCTGTAGGTTTTTCGAACGTAGCTCAGTATCATTTAATAGCTTCTACGTTTTTTTTTTTTTTTTTTTTGTTAAAGGGTCTTCATATTGAAATTTTTTTAGGTTTTGGGTTTTACAATTTATAAAATAGACAATAATGAAAAAAGTAAACTAAAAGCCCATAAGTGGGGAATAAGGGGGTTCTACGTTACGATGCATAGATGTTATTATGGTCTCAAATTGGTAATCATATTATAACATGGGAGTTTAAATCAATAATGATGTGCATGCTATCATTACCTGAAATCTCCATGAATATTTATATCCAATATTCAAATCTGAACTCAATTCAGATACATAATAGCAACAGTTATTCATCATTCCTAACTTACGTAAGTAATATAAAAATCTTTGATAGTAATTGAATGAACAAACTAAAGGTGGTGTTTTAGTTAAAAGAATCAATGGTTCTCTTTGTTGTTTCTTTTTCATGACACGAAAGGACCCATCTACAATAATTATTATTCTTAATAGTATGTTATTTCATTTTATTCTATATTGTTTGCTTCTCGATCGTGGACAAAAAAACGACAAAGCTATACCCACTAATTAAAGGGCATGAAACATCAAAGCCGTTTTAGAAAAAGAAATTACAAAAAAGATGTGGCAAATATATAATATTTTCAACTATATCGAAAAATTATTTATATAATATTATAAAGAGAGTATAAAAAGATGTCAAGGGATATAGCATAATATAGCTGTGTCGTTACATTTTGTCATGTTCCCCAAAATTTTACCGACGCATCTTCACGATACCTTTATGCCAAGACTAACTAAATTTCTCTTCAAAAAAAAAGACTAACTAAATTAGTTATGGGACAATGGTTGGTTTTCGTTGGTCTGAAATCGAAAAAAGGATCAGTTTCAACCTCAACAATTTGCGTTAACCGTTAAATATAGAAAACGACGTTGTTTTGAATTGGAAAAAAAATTGAAAAATCTTAAACCTTGCTTTGGACCAAAATCAAACCGAACCCTGGTCTGATGCTTATACCAACAACACACAAACCACTCTGCTACAACAACTTTTGACAACTATAGTTGAAGTAAATAATAATATAACATAACGTATTTATTACAAATGTTAATTATACCTTTATTCTATAGATCGTTTTTATTGCTTTGTTATTTAGAATATAAATTTCACTTTTCAATTATTAAAAAAGTGAAATTAAAAACGTTTTAATAAAAATATTTTATTAAAAACGTTTTAATAAAAATATTTTATTAAAAGTATGAGTTTCACTTTTAAATTTTTAATAAAAACGTTTTTTTCAAAACATGTATAATAGAAATTTATAAATTAATAAATTACTAAATTTTTTGGTTTTAAATTGGTTTAATTCAAAATATTATACAAATATATGATCTTATTAATATAATAAATTAATAATATGACCTTTATAAACTAATAATAATTGAAATTTAGTGGGCACGTTTTTTAATTTCACTTTTTAAATAACTGAAAAGTGAAATTTATGTTCTACAATAACTAAAAATGTTTTATTAAAAATATGAATTTCACTTTTCAACTTGAACATAAATTTCACTTTTCAGTTATTAAAAAGTAAAATTAAACATTTCCATTAAATTTCTATTATTATTGGTTTACAAAGATCATATTATTAATTTATTATATTAATATGATCATATATTTCAGTAATATATTGAACTAGACCAATTCAAAACCGAAAATTCTAGTAATTTACAAAATTTATTAATTTATAAATTTCTACTATACATGTTTTGAAAAGAAACGTTTTTATTAAAAATTTAAAAGTGAAACTCATACTTTTAATAAAATATTTTTATTAAAATGTTTTTAATTTCACTTTTTTTAACAACTGAAAAGTGAAATTAATATTCTAAATAACAAAGCAATAGAAACGATTTAAAGAGGAAAGTATAATTAACATTTGTAATAAATACATTATGTTATATATTATTTACTTCAATAATAGTTGTCAAATGTTATTGTAGCAAAATGGTTTGTGTCTGGTTGGTCTAAGCGAAGTTTATGATTTTTCAATTTTATTTTTTTCAATTCAAAACGACGTCGTTTTTTATATTTAACGGTTGACTAACTTCTGTTAAAGTTAAATTTTTTTTTAGGCCCAAAAGTTAAAGTTTGGTTTAAGTTTTTGAAATTTTGAAGCGTTCAAATAGAAAAATGCACCGTATCTTAATTTAGGTAGGAAAATTCACGATGCAAATTGTTGAGGTTAAAATTGACTCTTTTTTCGTCTGAAGTCTTATAGGGTTTTAGGCTGCACCATTTTAGATATAAACGCAATGGTTCGTCTTTTCAACATCCAACTAAATTCTAAGTATCATTTTGTGATTTGTCCCATTCAAGCGTGATTTAATCAACAAAGCGAAATAATATATTCTACAAACAAATCTTGTTAGAAAAAGTTCAAAAACAGAAAACAAACAAATCTTGTCAATGTTTTTGACGTTTATGACGTTTTTTTTGTCTAGATAATTATTTTATTACAAATCAGAAAATAATTATAAACACAACTTTTAATGCACAATTCTACTCTTAACACAAAAGACCACGACCATCGTGTATTTCATTAAGGTTAGACATAAATTGTTAAGTGACCTTAAAAGTTTTTGGTCCTAGGCTTTCTTCAAATTTAGTTTTAAGGTAATTCACACATATCGCATCAATTTTTCTTGGCTAATAAGTGATCCTTTGATAATTCCAAGTTCGACAACTAGTTTCATCAAGTATCGAATAATTCTTTATCAACGAAAAGAGCTAGGTGTGACAAAGATTGTGTTAATTCTCAAAAAAGGGAAAGGAAACATATACTATGTAATTTTCTTGGACTTGGTAATAGCTAGGGAAATGAAAGAAAGAAAGTAAGGGACAAGGGTAAACAGAAATTATACAAAAGAAAGTCATGGAGAAGTGTGAATTTATCACTTTAAGAAGACAATGAAGGAGATTATAGGATCCAGGGCCAAAATTGTGTCTCCTCCTAATCCTTAGGTACTATTAATATCACACACACTCTTGTTAAATATATATTCTTTATTATTTTTTTTGTCGTCTATGTATCCTTTATATATTGACATGACATGGACTATGTATGTACACACATGAAACTACAATATCAACTTTTGTAGAGTGTGTTCTGTGTTTTCTCTATTCTTCTATCTCTTCTGTTCTACTCACCTGAAAGAAAAGAAAAAGACAAAACAAGAACTACACTATTGAGTGAAAATATATATTTTTTGGTTTTCATGTTTCAGACTTGTACATAAGAGGCCTAAGAGCAAAAGCTGACAGTTGGAGATGAACGAGTCAATATCGGATTCAGAAAGATCGATAAGAACATGGAGCATATACACAACTAAGGATGGTTCAGATTCATCAATGAATGCGATCTCGTTTGGGTTTGTGGCGACTGCTATATTGATATCAATGTTCCTCATAATGGCAATCTTCGAGCATCTCTTCAGGTCCGATCTATCCGCTTCTCCCGATGGTTCTTTTCGGTGCCAGAAACTTGTTGAACAAGCTTCTATGGTAAACACTAAACACCAGCATCAATTTTTAAATAACAATTCACTAATATTCTTTGTGCCTTAATCTTTCCTTTTTTCTCATTGTTGTTTATTTAAAGAGCTTTCTTTTCATCAAAAGGGATTTTGGTCTTTTTATAAAAGAAGAAACCCATGAAACTGAAGGGCACCAAAAAGATGGATCTTTGTTGGCTACAATTTGTAAATGTCTACTAGTCTGTAGAAAAAAACAGTAAAACTTCAAATTTTATTAATAAAAAACCTATAAATTTCTGATTCGTTCGTTGATTTATTTATGTGTTAAAACATTTGTTGATTTACGTACTAAACCTCTTTATAAAAAATTTCGTTAAATCTTATTTTAATCATTTTCCAATTTTTGTCCTTAGTTCTCCCCATTTTTAACATAAAACATAAGTAACTACGACATGGCAGGTTCCGGTAACTACGTCAGATGTGTCGGTGGTGATGCCGGGAGAAAAGCTACCGTCGCATATAGGACTACCGACGCCGTTTCCTTGCCAGAGAGAAGGCATTCGCTGGCCTCCTCACCTTTAATATGCATGTCATTGCCTCTCGTTGTATCAAATTTATTCTGATTAATTCAGTTCTAACTCATTTCGATTAGCTAATCAAATTTTACTCTTACGACGCCACTTCACTAACTAAATCTCGTCATACTATGGCCTCTTCAAGGTCTTTACTCTTATTCATGCTATTTGAGTTATTTGTAAGTGAGAAGCCGCGATTACTATTCCGTTGTGGCAGACATGATGCGCACAACTAAGCACTAACCAACCAGCCTACATAACTACCCCGAAAACCAGTTTCCTAATCTAGACGAGTTACGTGTCCTATGAAAACTCTCATAATAGAGATCGAATGAGAATACTCTCAAAATGATTCAAACATATCTTAGAGAGCAAATAATATTTATTCTTTATAAGAGTGTGCGGACACTTTTCATATTTATTTTGGGTCAGTGTTACGAGATTGTGCAGATCATATCATATACCATATTAAGTTTTCTGAATTTTCATCTCAAAACTAATTAGCAATGAGTGGATTAGCTCAAATCTCTCATATATTAGTCAAGGTCTCTCCTAACTTTCAATGTGGAATATATCTTACACACATTCTCTAGAGATTAAGATTTCATGGCCCATTAACCTATACATTATCCAATAGTAGTCAAAGAAAAATGTTTGAGTTACGAGACCTAAAATCTTTTTTTCATCAACCAAAATCACATCCAAACCAAATCTAAAGTAGAGAGCAACAAAATTCTTACTCTCTTTCAATGATCTCTGAAACAAAAACTAAGGGCAAGTGTCATTGAAACAGCTGAGAAAGTTCAAAGAATTTTTTTCTGGCGGTCACATGGTACAAACACCTCATATTTTTCCAATTCTTTTTTAAGGAAGTTGAGAGAGAAAATCTCTCTATCATAAATTATAGATAATTATATAGTTTATTAAAAAATTATGGAATATTAAAATCCAGCTTGCTTCTCCTCACTTGGTGGAGCATATATCCATATAAGTGTAATCAAAGTTTCTGGGGTTTACTTGGAAGCAATCGTGATTCATGGAATTGAAGATCCTTCTTGTATCTTCACCGAGAAATTCATCAAATCAATTGTGGGGAATGGTGCACAAACTAGCTTTTGGTTTGATTCTTGGACTCCTCTGTTGGAACAAAATTAACAAAGACATATTGGCCTATTGGGCTTTATGAATTTATATATGTGTGAATGAGAAATGAGTTGGAGTCCATACAAATGAAATATTTTATTGGCTATAATTCATAAGTGAAAGAGAAGTGAGATGTTAACTTTATCTCACATTAAAAATTTGAAATGTTTTTGAGTACTATATATAAGGATCAATCTATACATTGGTTCATATGGTTAAGAGAGGAGAAGAGGACACACGCGCGCCCCCGCTGCTGGACTGTGTCCCGTGGTTCGTTGCATATTTTAGATTGGCTCTTAGGCTCTTGGGTTCATGGATCTATTTGAGCTTCAGGGTTATTGGGTCGGTTGGACGTTTGTTAACCTACATCTCTTAATCACGCCAATTAAATCGGGCCACCCAAGTTTCGTAGGGTACAAGTCCGTTTACTTGTTAAAACCCTAGTCCACTCTCTACTTTATATTTGCAACCCACAACCTCTCTTTTAGATCATCAGATAGAAAAACACACAAAGCAAAAACCACAAAGACACAATTCCTCTAATTCCCTACCACATCGGGTTAGTTTTATTCAAGAGTATTGTAGATTTAAATTTTGTTATAACCGATATCAAGTGTTACGATTCGGTGTTAAACGGTTATATCCTGAAACTCATGAATCGTGATTAAACCTGTCACACTACAGGTGATTCTTTGAATACTCTGTTTCATAATTTTTAATTAATTGGTTATATATTTTTTCTTAACTCTGTTATTCGATTGTTGATTATCGCATTATATTCGTGACTGAATCAATTTTACCATATTTTATAAATTATTGGTCCTACAAGCTTATCTCAAAGAAGTCCGTTTTGTTCTGTGAACATGTAACAGATTTTAATCACGAGTATATAAAGGTGTTTCAATAAATTTTAATTGATTTTTTTACTCTTACTGTCTTATTGATCGCGTTTAATAAACGGTTTTCAAACGCGTTCTCGAACGCTTTGATGAATGCTCTGCGGAGGTTCGAAGATGAATTCGCTTTATGCGGTTCTAAACGATTGATATCTCTTGCATTTACATCCTTTATGCTTGCATTTAGTTCATGTTTTGGTTTCTTTTTGCATATTTTCCTTCTCCTTAGTCCCATTTTCTTTTCCTTTTAGAGTTAGGTTGCATTTAGGTTGTAGCTTGCATTCTCTATGCATTAAGGATGTTTTTAGATACCAAATGAGCTGTTTGGAGCAAGGAGGAAGCATGGGGATGATTGAAGGAGTTTCCTAACCTAAGGAGGAGCAAAAGAAGCCAAAGAAGATGATTTTTAGTGCATCATCGATCATGACCAGAACAGCATCGGTCACTAGTGATCGATGTAGTTCACATCAACCAAGCCTGGAGTCCACATTGATCACATCTGCTTGATGTAAAGCAGCAGAGAAGATGGAGGTCCACATCGATCACTTGTGATCAATGTGAAGAGACATGACACCCACATCGATCATCAGCATTGATCAAGACTGATCAATGTAAAGGGGCAGGGACATCAGGACATCCACATCGATCAGGCACATCGATCACTAGCTGATCGATGTCAAGCACCAACGACCAGCATCGATCATCCACATCGATCACTTGTGATCGATGTTGGCTTTAGGTTGCATTTAGGTTGTAGCTTGCATTCTCTATGCATTAAGGATGTTTTTAGATACCAAATGAGCTGTTTGGAGCAAGAAGGAAGCATGGGGATGATTAAAGGAGTTTCCTAACCTAAGGAGGAGCAAAAGAAGCCAAGGAAGATGGTTTTTAGTGCATCATCGATCATGACCAGAACAGCATCGGTCACTAGTGATCGATGTAGTTCACATCAATCAAGCCTGGAGTCCACATCGATCACATCTGGTCGATGTAAAGCAGCAGAGAAGATGGAGGTCCACATCGATCACTTGTGATCAATGTGAAGAGACATGACACCCACATCGATCATCATCATCGATCAAGACTGATCAATGTAAAGGGGCAGGGACATCAGGACATCCACATCGATCAGGCACATCGATCACTAGCTGATCGATGTCAAGCACCAACGACCAGTATCGATCATCCACATCTATCACTTGTGATCGATGTTGGCCTTATCCGAACACCAGTTATTTACAATTTTACCACTCTTTTAGGGTTTTTGGCTTTTAGTATAAATAGCCATGAACCAAAGGTTTTTAGCATGTTCTAAGTTCTTGCTAAATTTTTATTTGCTTTTCTATCTTTGTAAGAACAAAGTTCATCTTTTTGATTAAAGTTTTGTATTTGCATCATTAAATCTTCTCTAATCTCCCTCCTAATCATGTTTAACATCATTTACCTTTGTGATTTGGTGTTTTCATTGATGATGAGTGAGTAGACTTTTTAGGATTCTTAGATGTGGTAGATTAGGAGAATTTAGAGGCTTGAGATCGATGTTGGGGAAGAAGTGTCTCGGGTAGATCACATCGGTTACTCACATTGATCAGATGTGATCGATGTAAACAACCTGAGAGTTAGACAAACTTACATCGGTCAGTAACATCGGTCATGGTATTCGATGTGGATCACATCGATCACTCACATCAATTGAAGAGTGATTGATGTAAACTGACCGAGAGTTTGAAGATTTACATCGAGCAAGAACATCGATTAGAGCTTGCTCGATGTGCCTACATCGATCACTCACATTGGTCAAGGAGTGATCGATGTATATGGGCAGGAGGATTAGGAGTCAGCATCGACCAGCAGCATCGATCAATCATGATCGATGCCGACCACATCGATTACTCACATCGATCAGAAGTGATCGATGTGGTCAGCGAGGTAGCTACTTAAATTTTCAAATAATTTCTCTCTCTTTGTTTAAAGCCAACGGAGTTTGAATTTGAATTATTTGGCTCCTCCCTGCCATTCTGACCCACTTCTGAGCACTTTTGGTTTTGTCCTCCACTCCTTAGATTCCTTATGTTCCCTCTTTGGTTCTATGTAAACCACCTAACTATTCTTCACTCTTCACACTTCACATTTTCTCTTCTCTCACCTAAGCCACGAAATTTCTTAGCTCTCTCTCTCTTTTATTTGTCTTTTCAAAGTGCTCATAAGTTCAAAGAGGTTTGCTTTCTTAAAATCTTCATTACTTGTTCTTATGCTTTGAGCTTGTTGAAAGTTTTTAAATCTTTTGCTTTAAAAACTAGCTTTGTTTAGTTTAAGTGCTTGTTTTTATTTTTGCATGGTGAGATTTGTTAGTTTAAGCAAGTAGATGTTAGAGCTGATTACTGTTCATTATTTATTAGTTTGCTTTGCTTTGAATCCACTTTGCATAATCCTGATTTATTTTGTGTAAAGGCCACCATGGTAGATTCATGTGCATAAGTATTTAAAATTTGCTTAGAACTCTAGTATGTTTATGATTTTTGCTCTTGAATTCTCTTATTTCTTTAGAGATTTGCCTTGTTTAAATGCTAGTTAAGCCTCTCTTAAATTTGAGAATTTTTTTTAAGAGCTTTAAATCATTGGTTTTCAACTTTTGTTCTTATACTCAATAGATCTTCAAGCATTGTTCTTGTAGGTACTATGGGGAGAACCAAAGAAGATGCTGGAAACAAAAGCCAAGCACATAAGAAGAAGGCGCCCTCTACTGCACTTACCATCAAGGAAAAGGGCAAAGGTGTTGCTGATGGGCAGTCCTCAAAAGCTGCTGGAAAAAGGGTGATGGAAAGCAAAGCTGCCAAGTCCAAGGACAAAGGAAAGGGCAAGGTTGTGGGAGAAGTCCCAAATAAACAGCCAAGTGCAAGGAAACTTATGGAGCTCTTCAATCAGTGTACCTTCAAAGCTACAAAGTACCCTTGCATCCCCACAATGAAGGCGCTTGGGATATATAAAGATTGCAAAACAATCTTTGAGAAGATGGGACTTGGAGAGTTCATGGAGAAGGAGTTTACCTCATACCAGCATCTCACCATTCAGTTT